GGGGGGGGGGGGGGGGGGGGGGGGGGGGGGGGGGGGGGGGGAACGACGGGGAAAGTATTATCAAGGTAGGCCTGCTGCCAACATAAGCCTCGAAATGATGCCATCTTGATGAAGGCTTGCACGCCAAGGTGCAGTCGCATGCAAAGCGTAATCGCGAGGCTTTCGTGTCTTCGGTTCGACCCGCGAACATCCCCAGAGATCACGCCAAAGTCCAGGTGTTCTGTAGCAGTTCATTTCCGTTGCCCACGAAGAAAGGGGTTGAAACGACTATGCACGACAACCGAAACCTACCGCGTTTTCCGGAAGAGATACCGGGCGCCAGTGGATACCATTACGCCCTTTGACAATATTGTTTAGGTTGTGGCATTTTGGTGTGAGCGGGGGTCGTCTCCCTTGCATGAACTACAGTAACTTGGTTCCCTGGGCCCCTCACCCGGCTGAGAAGACATCAGAAGACAAGCACTGACACCAATGCCTCGTGCGCGTGTGTGGTGCATCTTCCCTCCTGGCCAAACTGCTTAGACTTAGACTACTCATGACCCCGAAATTGGAATGTTTCGGTTAGGTTTCGGCTTGGGGAATGTGATACCAAAAAATACCGCGTGTCTGCTAGTGTGTACTGTCCCCCGTTGTCAACTTCTTTTGGACTGTTCCCATTTTCATAGTGGTATGTGATAGTCTACGCTGAAACAGCGAAATAGCACCAGATAACTGTAACGTCTAATGCAGCAAGACCCGGTTTTAGTTATGTGTAGAGCAAGCAGCATGCAACCTCAGAACAATAGAAAGACAAGTTGAAGGAGGCTCTTGGGTAGCAGGAGTACCTGCATGGCCATCTCTTGCATTCCAGCTTCCACCATATCAACCCTGTCGGCCTCCCACTGCTTCTCAAACTCCATCGTCGTTTGTCTCAGAGCCGCCCTCTCGTCGGCCCTTTTCTTCATTTCTTCGTCGCTGATGAGTGCTGAGGGCACTGATGGAGATGACAACGAAGCCACGACCGAAGAGGGACTGCCGTTGGATGGCGCTATTGGTTCCGGCGTGAATATTGCTCCTGTTGCTGGCATCGCCGAAAGCGCCAGCCGGCTTCGCTCGAAGCAATGAAGAGCGGATCAACACACCGCGAGGAGGGGCCGACAATATCGCGATATTCAGGAAGGGTTTTTCAGCCGGTTTCGTATAGAGCAGAAGAGGAGGGAGGTTAGGGAGGAGGGAAGCGAAGGAACCGCAACAGTAGATGGGCTTCTATTGTAGTCAGATGGATATCACTCTTGGGGGGCACATTTAGACATGTTGTTTTTTTACG